CGAATGATCATGGGGACTACATACACACTTGGATGATCACTTTTCGAAAGTTTGCCATCAATGAATTAGTGCCATGATCATGTTTATTGCTATTCACTAATTCACATGCCTGAAATTCATTTACATTCATCACATAGCACTGAAATGTCCATCGTTATAATTTTCTTATGTAATTGTAAAGCCCGGAAATGGTTATCGAAAATATTTATAAGGCAAAACTGTCTTCTATAATCTTCATGATCGGATTAGTGGGATGAACGAGGCGGACGAAGATACCCAACCAACCACTACCAGCACCAATTACCATGGAAACCGGATATTCAAAAGAAGGCGTTCCTTTCTCTTCGCCCAACACCATTGTCTTATCTCAGTGAGGCACGGATGAAGAAATCGGGACTGGCGAGGACATGATGAGGGAAAGCAGGACCGACACTGATTACTCAGGAATCACTATACAGGTCAGCAGAGCTAAGCACAAGCGATAGAAAACGAAGTTCCAAAGCTAATCATAAGTGAATCAGTGTTTCTATGTGAACCACAGACTTAATGTAAACGTCACAAATACCATTTCCAACAGGATACTGACGACTCCTATAAACAGATGCATTTTCTGTCTTGACACGGAATATCAAATAAACGATGAGAATTCATAAGCAAAAAGGCACTGTGTTTATGAACTGGCTGACAATCTCTCAACTGACAGATGAGCAGAAGGAAGTGTATGTGGATTGTCCAAACTCTGAAATGATCATTGAATGAAATCGAATTGCATGCTGTGAAGTGGAAAGTGGACGGCAACTGGTAGGCACAGCTAATTCAGAGAGCTGGAAGGGATCAAAGATAATTGGCAGACTTACAACCATGCAGGAGTAATGCTAGAGAACAGAATTCGGTAGAGATGTCCCACTAAAGACGTATATTCCAATCAAAAATGGTGGAAGCAGTAATAATAATCCTAAGTACAATAATAATAATAATAGAGATTGACATGAGAAGATGTATATGATCAGCCAGTTATAATAACAACAATTACTAATATTATACGCTTTATTCCAAAAACTATACTTGCAATACAGAATGCAATTCTCAGCATTTGTCACAATATCGCATCTGATTTACCCAACATATAAATAGAATTAAAAGAGAATAAACCAGAGGAATTTGTCCACATTTACGGTATAAAGTCACAAATTTTCGAAGTACAAAGTGAGGACAGTTATATTGGGCGTACTACTAGACAGCTTAGCCAACGTGTTAGTGAACATCTCCCATCGTGGTTTGGCAAAGGACAGACAAAAACAATCCGTAGCTCAATCCTGTCACATCTAATTGATAGTGGTCATGTAGTCGATAAAACAAAAGCCTTCAAAGTAATTCATCGTATCCCACCGAATCTTTCCAATAGACTTCGCATTCGTCTACTTCACACAGCTGAGGCGATAGGCATTCGAACTATTAAACCTAAACTATGCATTCAAAAGAAGTTCGTGCAGCCATTATCCCTCCCGTGGCCTAATAAGACATAACCAACTAAAGACTTCTACACCACCCCTTATTTATATTTCCAACACCTTTCTTATCATCCCTTAATCTTATCTTCATTATAAACGTGTTTTATTTCCTTCCCTTACGGTCTAACATTACGTAATCGGTTCATTTGTTTTTATTAGCCTTTGTCGACTACTTCCACCTGAACATTTGTTTCTTTATTCATGCTGTTTTTTCATTATTCGTGTTATCACAGATTGCCTCACTTTTTCATCCTTATTATTATTAAGACCATTATTATTATTATTACTATTATTAATATTATCATTACCACTATTACGACTAATTGCACAATTTATATTCACCATCGTATTATCCTATAGACAAAACACCATGATTGGTTTATATTTGAATTTTTATTTTTAAACTTATATATATTAGAGTTAAGCCTGATAAGATCTAATTGAAAACAATATTGTTCGCTTAAATGTGTTGTTCAAAAATATAAACATAAAAATAATAATAATAACAATAACAGTCAGTTTGTTTGAAACAGTTTCGTCGATTCAGTTTTCAGAAACTTTTAGCATTTTATAGACTATTGAATCTAATGTTCTCCTGACATAATATGGTGAGAGGAAATACAAAACTAACACTGAGAAGATATTCGAACAGTTACTCTACATTCATTATAAATTATTCAAATTAATCCCAACGTGTTAAGAAAATCAAAAGAAGACCTGTTTTCTGAACGTTTCGCTGTGTAAGCCAGAGCGTCTTCAGCAGATTTATTCAAATTTTTATTAAACATCAAAATATATAGTCAAAAATTTAATTTAATTACAAATATATGTGATGACTGCTTACATATTTCTATTGGTAAAAATGTCCATGGACAAATGACCTTCAAATAAACTAACTTCAATTTATGTAAAAAAGATTTTCACTATATATTTTGATGATTAATAAAAATCCGAATCAATCTGCTGAAGAAGCTGTGATGACTAACACAGCGAAACGTTCAGAAAACAGATCTTGTTTTGATTTTCTTAACACCCTGGGATTATTTTAAATAATTTATAATGAATTAATCTGACTCGGCGCTCAAATTATTCCAGGAAGTTCGTAACACCTACGGTATGGAAAGTTGTAGTTACATTAAATGTGAGTGAGGCACACGATAGGTCAGTATTGCACATGGTAATGTTAACATCACACAGCTGAATGGCATGCCAAATCGCATTTCCTACTAGATGGATAGTCTGAATATATTCAGGATGATGTATTTATTGACTGCAGAAACACGGTTTCAAATGTTTCAAATTTCTCCTCACAGCAAACATGTGTATCTCCGATCTCATTCCTTCTACATTCAATCCGATTTCTCTGTTTCATGACGTCTACATGGTGCCACCGACAATCATACACCTCATCCAACAGTTGTACGACAATGTTGCATGCCAAGTAATCCACAACGGGAAACTCACGGAGTCCTTCGAAGTGAGGACGGGAGTGCAACAAGGCTGTCTACTTTCGCCAATTATTTTCCTGATTGCAGTAGATTGAATAATGCGACAGACAACAGCCAATGAGGAAACAGGCATAAAATGGACTCACAAAAAAAAAATTTGGAGGATCTGGACTTCGCCGATGATAAATGTCTGATTTCCCACAAACTGGAAGATATGCAAGTGAAAAGTAACAAGTTGGCAGAAGAAGCATCCAGAGAAGATACGACTTCAGGTGAACATAGATAAAACAGAGGTAGGTGATGAAGATTCCTGGCCAACACCACCACCAACAACAACAGACAACAATCAGCCATAATAAATGGGACGAATCTGAAAGAAACAACCTCCTTTACTTACCCACCTCCCTAAGAAGCATCGTTTCAACTAAGGCGGAACTGACGAGGATATCAAAGGAGCGAGGATCGGGAAAGCAAGACAAGCTTTTATTACTCTCAAGTCTGTGTGGAGGTCAACAGCACTCAGCATCACAAATAAGATCCGAATTTTCAACTCCTATGTGCAGTCAGTGCTGCTTTATGGATCATCTATCTGGCGCGTCATGGAGAGCGACTCAAATAAACTATAGACCTTCGTCAACAGCCGCCTTCGCCCAATACTCAAGATCAGATGGCCGGGCAGAAAAGATCAACAACAGACATCTCCGGAAGCGAACCAACCCGAGGCCGATTGTGCAAAAATAGGCAGGAAGCAATGAAGATGGATTGGCCATACTGTGAGGAAACCATTAAGTTACATCACTAAACAGGCCTCCAAGTGGAACACGAAAAGGAAGCGGGTGGTTGGTCATCAGTATGAGAATAATTTGGAGGAGGCGATTAGAAGAGGAGATGAAAGCATGTGGTCAGACGTAAAGCCAGATGAAAACTTTAGCAGAGAACCGAACGCGATGGTGACGTTGAAGTTGAAGCCCTATGTTCCAATTGGAATTAAAGGAAATAATAATAATATGGCGTCTAAAAATTTGTGAATGATTTCTCCAAGTCTCGTCAACTGACTGTGTCATTGGCTTCAGTATCACTTCGTCGAACACATTTAATCAATATTAGCTCAATCTGGCTACACACCAATATTCTATTCACAAAACAATCTCTTCCTCTCATCTCACTCTTCATCTTTCAGTGTCTGAGTGTAACTCAGTGCTCTCTCTCTCTCTCTCACGTAGCTGTATTCATCTCACAACCAACTCAGAGATGCTCCCTCACACTCTCTCACACACACAAACACTAACACACAAGTGTGTAGGCTGATGGTTCATTTAACTTAGTATCTGTTTGTCCTGTGATGGCCTTTAGCAGATTAAAGAAAGAAGTAAATACGGGTGCATTCCATTGGATAAATCAATCATTTACTCACTGCTCCAAACAAACAACCTGATTTGAGTTCAAGGACACCGATAACCAGACTATTTCTGATTCTCAAGCGTAAGCACCAATATGTATATATATCTTAAGGTGAATAAAATCTCAAGAATGTAGACTTTGACTGAATCTCTACTAATGCTAACAGCGGAGATGCTGAGTGAATTATTCATCAGACAGCCACATTTCAAATCTTTCATATCCACGAAATCACAGGCTGTTGATTAGGCTAAAATCAATATCTCCGCTTATCTGAGTGACAAATTATTCGCCAAAACACAGAGAACTCTATTGACCAGGAGTCTGTCTGTATTGCTACTGATGCTGATGAAAGTGTTTCAACTATCCTTCCACAATGCTCATCTCCAAATACCGTATTTCAAATATACACTGCCTATCAATTTGAAAAAGTCTCTGGTATGCACAAATGACTGTTTCGGTAAAATAGTCAAATCAGAAGAGTCGTGAATTGCTTTCGTGGATCCATGAAATATTCCGAGGTCAACTATCTCACTTTGTCGAAAAGATTCCAACCGTCTGTTGGAATGTTCCCCTTCTCACTGATCTCAATGCCACTCATCCATACATATGTGGACTTGATTGATTTTCGAATTCGTTTCAGTGTGTTGAAATCAGGGTGAATATTGGAGTTGGAGGATTAAATCTGCTATATAAACAGACAAATGATGAAGTGGCTGTAGGCGAAGTTGGCAGTCCTACAGCTTCCAGACATTATCCAATACATTTCAATATGACGAAATATGTGGATGGAATTTTAGCTGGTCTTCCTGAGGATGAGGTATGTCACACTAACTTATTTCTATTCGTATTAGTATACTTCGTGCATAATCTGATGATATAACAATTTCTACTTAGTTCTTAAGGGTTTCTCAGTGATCTTCTTCTTCTCTCTTTCTTCAGCTGATTGAAACAGCATTCTAATGTGGAATACTGCGTAGGGAAGACTGCTGAAGCGACTCAGAATCAAGTCACTCACACAGGTTTTCATATCACACTACGAAATATATCATTCATGTAACACAGTGTGACTTCTACTTCCCAAGTCTCACTTTCTCAGTCCCTCTCATATCTCCTCCTCTCCTTACAAGAATATCTGCAAATATGTGACAGACAGCTGTCTTCTCCAGCAGATTCTGAACATATATTTGGCCGATGTTGGTAGATTCCGGAGGTGGACTGTCTAAGTGACATATCAATTGAAAACAAAGCGTCAGTTTGTCCACATCATCTACAGTCTTCTCACATGGAAGATAACGCTTCTAGTCAAGCGTATTTCGAGATTTCACTGGACTCGTCACTGTATATACCACACATAAACTACTGCATATCATCCGTGCGGAAATGATCTGATGAAATGTTTCCACAAACAACTGAGAAGCTCACTGATGATGAGACTTGACAAATATAAGCAAAGTGACCAACTACCGTTTGGTTTCTGATCAGCCTCATGAAAGCATTCAACTGTTAATTGTACTAAATTAGCGTTGCTTCGTTAATTAGTCTCCAAACTGTGTTTCAACAGGTTTGAATATTTCATAGTGTAGTCACACAATATAGGCACCTCGATCCCCTAACCTCACCTAACATTTCAACAAGCACCCACAGAACTGAAAATTTGTTTGCTTTGGAAAAGGTGAAATGCGTAGAGGATCAACACCACCTTTTGCAAAATACCTCTCGCTACAAAGTTACTTGAATGAAAACTGTACAGTGTATGCATATATAGAAAAGGGAACAATCTCCTTAGGTCATTTCAAATCAGCATTCACTGACTGAGAATAGGACGCAATATTACCACTGGAGCCGAGAAACACAACTCTGAACAATGTAACTACAGTTATCCATTCCTACATTTATTTAAATTTTCAGTTATCTCTGTAGATGGTAAAATTTTGTCGCGTGTGCTACTGATAAGTAGCATATTAAGAGGCTGTCCACGGAACACGAAAATACCAAATACCGGACGGATAGATTTTAAGTAAAAGAGAACAAGTAATTCAGCGTTGTGGCAAAACATGCGAGACAAGAAAAGAACAGAAGGGAACACAACACGAAGGGCAGAATTAGCAAGCACAACACCACGTGAGATGTGTGCAAATGACGACATTCAGATGAGGTGAACATAATTTTGCTGAACAGACATAGCAAGTTCCAAAATGAACATCCCCACCAAATATATTATAGTCCAGCACATAGGAATCAGGAAATATTAGTAATCTATTCACTCCGCTGACTAAATTGTTTACACGCTTGATTTCACCAAGGAATTTCTTACTCTTCACGGTTGGTCTCTTCACCAACGTATACACACATACATATGTGAGTGGAATAAATGTCTCCTCATCTCCACATATGTGAGTATCATTTTCTCTTTGCCGCTGTAAAGAGAATGAAGCATGCGTGTACTGACTGATTGAATCTTTGTACTAATTACTACTGTCACTATTTCATCACCATTATTACTTTTTTTTTCCTTCACGTTCCCGTTGGAACAAAGGGCTTCAAGCTAGTGACTTGAAGTTTCTGTAGTAGCGTTTAGTTTTAAAGAATGGGGTTGCTAGCCTCATCCCTAGCCTTTCCCCTTTACCAGTCTCATTACTGGTTTAGCGAGTAAAGGAGTGCGTCAGTGGCCGGGAATCGAATCCCTGACCATGTGCATGGTCGCGGAGCGTCTTGACCGCTGTGCCACCGGCGCATCATTATTACTACCATTACCATTATTATTACTAATATTATCGTCACTACCAGTAATTGTATTCATTCTCTACTCTTCTGCATAACCCAGTAGACACTGACATTGTAAACAACTTCTCCTCTTCATAGTTATTTCAGTGATAAGAGTTAACAGTATTATTTATTCTCTTTCAAGAGAGGAAAGCTCTCATCACATCAAGAATACTTACTACTGACTTTGTATTGTTATTATTCTTTTGTTTATAGTACATATCAGTAGGCTATGAGTAGAATGTTAATTATGCAGTATTTTCTAATGACTCATTTGTCTGTCGAGATCAGTTTTGCTTGCATGAACGTGTGTATTGGTTTGTAGTGTATTCACATGCTGTACTACTTGTAAACTATGAGATAGTTTCAGTGTATCATAGTATCCCAGGCTGTTTAAGGACAAGGCGATGTTGAGATGTGATCTCCGAAGACAAGGTCTGTCGATTGTTGACCTTCAAGAAGCTATCAGATAAGAGGATGCCTATGAGAGTTGCCTTCGAATCGAATCATGCCTACATTTTTTCCCTTGGAGCAGGCAGATGCAGCACTGCAGTTTTTTTCTGCGTACGTTTTTTGTTAATCGACACTGTCAGGTTTGGGTTATGGCATTGTACTTCGGGGTTTAGTGTGTACGATTAGGGTTAGGACTACGGTTAGAATGTGGAATAGGCTGAACAAAAGTATCCGAAAGATGAATGGATCTCAACTCAAACACGGAAAGTACGTATGGTGATATCGTGATTGCGGTGAGTTTTAGTGCATATATCAACACTGATGCGACTTCTTTGTATATGAACTCTGATATATTTTACTGCGGTTTTGTCTTTGATAGCTTCACTTTGCCAGCCTGTGATTTGGTTAGTATGAGAAATCAAATATGTATGTATCCACGAGAAATTATGTGGCATGTACCCTTGTTTATCAGGTGGCTCCATCTGCTTCAACTTGTGATTCCATCCGCCATCCGTTTCATTGGAATCGCTATTATTTAGCTTCGTTATATTCAGGTGGCTGTATTCGACATGGTTTTGATATTTTTTCAGGTTTTTGTGCTCACTTCTCTGAAAGTCTTCCTTCAATACTATTTCTAAGTACCAATGTAGTGCTTGTATAACAAGATGCTTGAATACGTGTCACATCCAATAACTGTCCACCGTTCATTTCCACGACTGGCATTTAAATAGTCTCTTTACAGACTGGTAGCGCCCTCCACTAGACCGTAAGCTTTCTGGTCAGCTGACATCAATCACCTGTGTCTAGTGTGTAAACCTTAAGACGTTATGAGTATTTGTGCCACAGCCGCTGCACACATCTATGTGCTTAGTGTCAATTCAGATTCACCTCATTTGTTTCGTCAACCTTCAATTTTAATAGGCCTTCATAAATGCACCATCATTTCACTCTGTTTTCATCAGTCCTTTCTGGACGACCCACGATTGCGCATAAGTTTTCATTTCCTCGTCACACTATCTCTCCATGTCACCTACTCATCTTCCGCTTGAGTGCTCGTCACACGATGTCTTTCAGCCGTCTTCTCCTTTTATGTCCCATGCACCTCCATTTCTTGCACCATGCTTGTCGGCAGGTAGGTTACTGGTTTGTTAGTTGGTTGGTTGGTAGTGTCCGTCGTCGTTAATTCCTTCTAGTCAATCCTCCGATTTTCAATATGCAGCAAAGGCATCGGTTGTTAAATGTCTGTGGCTCATTAGAAATTATTTTCATGACACTGTTACCAAATCTTTGGACTCTATAGAAGCATTCTGTGAAAAGACATTAGTTGTGACGTGAATTTGTTGTAGGGATTTGAGGTGTTCTTCATGTTTGTTATCAGTTAGAGCACCATTGGAAACTAGGGAGGAGTATCGGTGAACACCACGAATTGAAACACTTCCGAGTGACTGACACTCTAACGCTCGTGTATTTATACATATAACATGTTTTCAACTAATTTCTTGTGTTTTCTTAACACAGAACCTGCGTATTTTCGTGTTAAGCATCACTAATTTTCAATGCCAGTAATATCTTTCCGTCGAATGAAAAACACTTCAAGAACTACAGTTTTAGCAGAATAATATGGTACCATCATTTATTTCGTTGGCTTCTCATCAGCTACTGCTTACAGCCTAGATAAATTATGAGGTTTAAGTACAGACATGTTTCAACATACTTGCAAATTTTACATGTTGTCAGTTGACAGAAAATTCCACAATTAGTAAAGAGTGCTCAGAAGATTGCGCTTATATAGTTTTCACACAGGCAGTTCAAGTTAAAACAAAATAAATGTATGCAGAAAATGGTAAAGGAGTTACACAATAAAGATGAGATGTGCGTTAGATGCATAGTGACTAGTAAGTTAGGTAACAATGTACTGAGTTGAGCTCAAGAGACAAGCAAAACTACAGATTGTAAAAAAGACGGTTAGGTTAAAGACAAAGATTACGTAATCAGATGAGAGAAAAAAAAGACATCCAGTTATCAAGGCAAGGAAAGACTAATAACTGCTTCTTTCTGAACACATAGGTCTGGTTGCAAGAGTTTGATAGAAATCGCTTCAGCAAACTTAAGGAAAATTGAGCTCTTTTGCCTATTATTAATTTTGAACGACTTTTCGACGTCCACCTCATAACCCGTGTCGAGGAGATGCCTAGCGATGGCACTGTTTAAAGCATTTGTTCCCTTTAGACGTAAGCTTTTTGGCACGTGTTCAGAAAATCTAACGCACATCTAATCTGTGCGTCGGTGGCACAGTTGTTAGGACTCTCGCCGACCATCCCCATGGTCCGGGGTTCGAGCCCACGCCGGCGCACACCTGATATCTATGGTCGGCCTGCAAAATTTGGGCTACCAATATCCATGCTGAAAATTCCATACTTGTGCCAAAAGTACAGTGTGGAATCAAGCTGTAAATCAAAAATAAAAAAATAAATAAAAAAAATTATGTAACTCCTTTACCATTTTCTGCATACATTTATTTTGTTTTAACTTGAACTGCCCGTGTGAAAACTATATAAGCGCAATCTTCTGAGCACTCTTTACTAATTGTGGAAATTTCCG